CGCATTTTTTTGGCTGTTATCCAAAATTTTGATAAGTATAACCTGCGCAAGAAGAGTCCGAGCTTCACTCACTGACGCTGTGTGTACACATAAAAATTTACTTCGCAAAAAAAAAAAAAATATACATGTAGTGAGTGGCTTGTATAGGAGAACATATTGCATGAATTTATGTGATTGCCGAGTAGGAAATATTTGAAGTCAAACCTCCTTAGACACGGTAATAAATTCAGTCAATCAGTCTGTTATTGAGATACGCAAATTACTTTATGAAAAATATTCGAAAAAGTTTCCGGCTGCCTTGAAATTGTAAGAATACGGTTAAGGTACCTACAGGCTTTGCAGTTCAGAGAACAAGTAAAATACTCAAAACTAGGCATTAACCAGCTGGTGTAATCTAACCCACATTGCTCAATCCGCGGAAGGGGATACCCATTGTTCTGCGAAAATCACTTTAGAAATCTCTCCTCAATATCGTATTTAGGGTCTTATCTGGGTGGTGATGAAAACCAGAGTCCACTGTCAACGAATCAATCGGTTCTTCTCAGTTTAAGACCTGCCAGAATCACCGTTACATCGTCGAATTGTGAGAAAACTTTTTCGTTGGTTTTAAAGCGGTCATTGATAGGTTAAAAATGAGCTTTCCTCACAAAACCTAACGCCATCAGACCCGTCCGAATTGAGAAGTAGCTTTCCTTCCATAGAAAACGATATATGCTTCAATCTCCTGGCGTATGCCGATGATATTCATCTTTGGATGAAAATGTTAATTGAATAGTTCTGGTTCAAGATGAGACTGCATTTCAATTCCGGGTTTCGCTGTTTATATTCGTCGCTTTTAAATAAAAGGAAGATAGTTTCTAGAAGACTTATAGTCCCTTGGAGTATGGATCACGGCCAATACCGTATATGATGGAGTGAAATGGTTTATGTGATATACGACGCTATAGTCAAATAGTACAGCGAATTAAGAGAGGTCAGATAAAAATATTTACGGTTTTGAAGTGTGTCCTGCTTTGACCTGTTGGTAAGATTAAAGAAAGAGTAAGAATCTTTACTCCGTTTCGATTTACTTACAGTGATAAAAATCTTTTTTTATTTGGTATCTTCGTAGTGCGCAAAGGTGAAATGACGTGAGTCGTCAAAGTAGATTAAATTCCGCACCACCGCACTTACTTCCATCCATAGTAGTTGAACTACGGCCATAGAGTTTTGAACAGTGTTTATTGCTTAATACCTCGGCGTGTGAGTTTTAAATAGATTTGAATGTAACTTTTTTTCCTGCTGGGTACTTTAAAACGCATCCACGCAAAATCATATTCACAATTAGCTAAACTAGGGATCGTATAATAAATACAGAGAAACTGACTCACTTACCTATGGTTGTATGTGTGTGTGTGTGTGTGTGTTTTGTGCATGTATTTGTAGGTTCGTGTATTTGTCATGATTTTAAAGCCACTTAAGCCTTGAATGGTAATGTGACTATGTAAATAAATCTTTTTCTTTGCCTTTATGGACTGTGTCCATTTTGTTTTGTCAAAGTGAATGTGAACGAATAAATGTGCATATACACATACAGATAAACAAGTGTACATACTCGTAAATATTGTAAATGGAACAAAATGTCTGTAACACGATATTTTATAGAAAACTCTAAGTACAAGGTTTTTTCATGGAAAGCTCGCTCCTTTGTCTGTTAATTGTTTATAGTGTATAGCAAATGTTTTTTGTTTGTATGTATTATTTTAAGTGAAAAGGCGAAAAAATCCTCCATTTTCAGTTTTTCAGTTTTTCTTTGAGAAATAATTTTTTCTCAAAAGAGAACTTAAAGCTTGAAGATGAGAGTTTACACGGAAGAATGGGCGGAATAAAAATAAATTCAGTAGAGGTTATTAAAAAAAAACATTTGTAGAATTAGGAAAAATTCATTAATTTTGTAAAATATATTTGAGAAATTTTTAGAAAAAAAATAATATGATTAGGTACCCGCTTTGTCTTTACTCTCATTTTGTGAGTTATGCAAATCTCTCAATACCATACATTCAGTGTAATAAGTAAGTTGACTAACTGACGCCTTAGCCTCGTGTTGTTATCGCACACACACACACGAGTATCACTTCAACCAAAAGTATTCATCTAAACTGACAATCAATAAACCACCGAACTGTTAAAATTCAACTAAAAATATTTTATTAATTTTCCAAATCCTTTACATTTTATATACCCGTATATATATACATGTATATACATATACAGTTATATGTGAGCATGCTTGCATGACAGCGCTGCCATCTACTATTTACCACAAGCAAACGAGCAAGAAAATTGCCGATTAATTTGCATTTTATTTACTTTGTCACTGCGGCAGGCAAAGAAGCTACAAAGTGATTGAAAAATTTGCATCGCAAAGACCACCAAGGCATTGCAAAGGAACTAGAGTGGTTAAATCGTTGCCTCTCTACACCATTTGCTGGCATTTCCTATATCCTTTTCGCTACAATTTCTATTCCTCTTTGGTACGTTTGGTAGTGAAATCATTCATTTTTTTTATTTTCTACACTTTTGGGCACAACTTGAAATAAATTAAAATAAATTTCGTATGATATGCATAGTTTTGGTATTTTTGGGTTTCGCATAAGCCAAGCTTAAAATTTTGTAAAATTTCTACTAAATATTTTTGCCGAGACCTTGAACGTGATTTCATTGTTTGGATATAAGATAACAGTGTCTTGGCTGTAGTCTATATTAAGCCATTGCTTCGTCTCAACTTATTAATGTTTAATTTAAAATTTTTGAAAAATTAATTTGAATCAAATTTTTATTAAAAATTTTATTAAATCTTCACACAGTTGGAAATATAAAAAAAATATTTAATTTAAGAATCTAAATAGAAGATAAATATTGTTTGATAGGAAATGGTTTCCAACACAATAAAAATTACTAAAAAGCAAAATTTATATATGTATGTATATGTATGTATATGTATGTATATGTACAACTAGAAACGATATCAATAATTTTCACACAATATTTATAACTCGTCATGAGTTCGAGTACTGGCCAGACTCATATTGAAATTTATATAGTTTTTATGTTATTATTGTTGTAGTTGTTAGCTAATCCCGCTTATCTGGCAGGCAGGCGAGACTAGTCATCGAGGTCATTCAATTGGAGGTCCAGGAAACGTGCTATTTCGATGGAGCAGAGGCAAAGTAGTTAGGAGTTGGTTTTGGTTAAATGCAAAGAGGCGGTTGGTTCTCATTGCGTGCAGAACATATGTACGTTGATAAGTGCTTGATCCGCCAGGGAGCTTATGGTTGTCAGGCACTTACCGCCAATGCTAACCGAAAAGTCATATGCTTGCTATAGGCATTGGTGTCCGCTCTTCAGATACATCAGAAATTTCTCTCACCTATTACAAAGCGCCAATATTACTAAAATAAGTAAAACTTTTTTCTAAAAAGTCTTGCAGAACTATAAAAGAAAGCTTTTTACATTTGTATTTTTACTTGAATTTTATATGGAATATTTGAAAATCCATTTAACTGTTTTAAAAGTAACCGAAAAAGTGTTTCTGCATCTATTGCTTTTTCAAGATTCTATCAAACATTTTTATTTATTTTATACTTGAACTGATATTTCGTAATTTTTTTTTTATAAAATTCGCCCACATCCCCATCTAACTTCCATATTGCTTAAAAAGGAAACACCGTGTAGCGGTAGCCAATGTACACACATTAAAAGAGCAGCAAATTGAAGGGGTCTAGAGAATTTTCACAAGTATCTGCGCTACAAATTTACGGAGTTTCAACTAGTTACCTGAAGCAAAAATGTTAAATCACAAAAAGTGCTAGTCAATAAGGCGTATCTAATGTTCGCCAAAACTTTACAATTCAACAGTGTATATGCATGTGTGTGTGTATGTAAGTACATGTTGTGAGCCACCAGCGAAACTCGAATGAAGTTTAAGTTCAACCAAAAATGTTAATGGTACCCTTTCCGTACTGCGAGTTTGCTGCAGGTGTGACTGTGTTTATGCACACACACACACACACACATACATACGAGCATTGCAAATGATATTTAGAGGGGTAAGTTTAGTGAATGGAATGATGTTTCAGTTTTGCGAAAATTGCAACTAATGCTGAGCGGCTCTTGAGCAAAAAATAAAAGCACCGAGGAAACTTTAAATTGCATTTCCCTTTCGTAGGCGAGTAAGCGAGTGTGTTCCTTTTTTCATAAATTTTTGTTATTAGTATAGTTTTCAGTCTCATTTATATTTTCGCTATAAAAAGGGCATTTCATATTGTTTGCTTTCAATGAAAGAGAAGTTGGTTTGTGAGTTTATCGAGTTTTTTAAGGGTTTTTCACAAAACTGAAATAATTTATTGGTCATCTTTGCTTTCATTTACATATTTTGGTGAAAAAGGAGGCCTTAAAAGCTGTTGCATTACCAAAAAAATAATAAAAAAAAAGTTTGATATAAAATAAAATTAAAAATTCGAATATTAAAATAAATTAATTTCAACAAAATGAAAAAGTTAAAAAACATTAAATGAAACAAAAGAAATAAATTAAACTTATATAAATTAAATGAAGTTTAATAAAATGAAACGAAATAAATTACATTAGCTTAAATTGATATAAAATGATATGAAATAAAAATCAAATAAAATAATTAAAATAATATGAAAACAAATAATATAATATAAAATAAAATAAAACCAAATTTTATTGAATTAAAATTAAATATTGAATTAAAATAAAATAAACTAAAAGAAGGTTTAAAAAAAATTTAAAGGGAAATAAATGAGAAAGAAAAATAATTAAGATAAAATAATACAAAACCAAACATAACATAAAATAAATTTAAAAATATAAAATAAAGTAAATAAAAACAGAAACAAATAGACATAAAATAAATTGACATATATTATAAAAAAGATATAAAATTATATTAAATTGATTTAAATAAAAATAAAACCAACTCACATATTTGCAGACATTAATTTAGTTCATTTTTATAAATAATTTTTTTATAAATTATTTTATTCCACATATAAAACATGTCCTTTTTCTTAATACTTATTTCTAAAAAAAATATATATATGTATATGTACACTTTTGTAAAATAAATAAAAGTTTCTTAAGCTTAAAGTAGAAAAAATACTATCAGAATCACTTAAGGTCCTTTGAGCGGCGGCTCTGTGTAACCTTCATTCTTCGAGAGGCAACGATCATTGTCTGCGTCTGTTGGCACAACATCTGCACTTAATTCGATCAATTTATCTAAAGGGCATTGAAAATCACAGCCGGGTATAGTAAGCTTCTCAATTGGCGCTTTTGCATTGCTCCGAAAATAAATCTGAGACGAAACAAATATAAAATATTTCATAAAATAATTTTTTTTCTAAATAAAAAGCACATTTCAAAATCGTGAATAAAATAATAATAAATGTAAATCATAATAATTTATATATAAACATTTCTCACCTCTACATAATACTCTCCGCTTGTCTGGTTTTTGTGTAATTCAAACATCGTCATAACGGAATAGCGTGGCAATTGCCGCTGCCATATTTTTAAGCTCGCCAAAATATTTACCACTGTCGTATCGTGTCCAGTATATATGAATAATTTTCTGTCACTCGGCTTAAGTTTGCCATCACGCTTCTCTAACATTTCTACGAACATTTTCTTCAAAAATGGTCCAGCTTTTATTTTTTGCATTTCGGGCGTATAGACATTATAGACATAACTTTGGTCAGTAAGGAATTGCATACGTTCGGGGTAGTAACTTGCCGTCCATTGAGGTAGTTGTAGGCCGAATTCTTGCTGGAAATATGTTTTTGCGAATTAATTCCTTAACATAAACTTTTTAAGTAAATGTTATAATATTTGTCTGCTTTTTTCTGTAACAGAAATAAATATTTACCTCAGCCAGTAATGTCAAGTAGAGCGACTGCACATCCTCGGGCGTAGTTATATTTAAACCGCTTAGTGCCGACAATTCAGCGAGCATACCGGTGTATGGCTCGATTTCGGCTTTTACCACAGGGGATTCCAAAACTTCGCTCAAAGCCTCAAAGTAGCGCGGGCAAGGTGTGCGCACCAATAGTAACTGAAAAGTAAAAGTTAAAAAAATTAAAACTAGGCGCCAACTTTTTTTGATTGGATTTTTTTTTAATTTTGATTTAATTTACCGAATCTTCATTGAGCGGTTGCGAAAATATCGGCACCGGCTGCCAATTATACTTCGCGTTCCACTCCATGGGTGTATTGCGCGGTGGAAAGAAGCTCGCCATCACCGTCTGTAGAGTCATGTGTGTGCGTGGAACACCCGTTGCCTGAGCATACACCGCCTGCGTTAGATGAGAATATAAATTTTAGATATTTATGTTCTAATTTTAATTGCTTGCTTTTAGAAGAAATCAAAGAGTTACTAAGAAAATGCATGCGAGAAGTTTTCAGCCAATTGGCCATTTCACTCCGGCATCAAATGCAACGAAAGCAAAGCAAGCGCATTGATTTTCGATTCAACAAATACAACTACAACATCAGCTATGCAAATGTCAGTGTATTTATGCAAATGTGTGTGTACCGAATTGTCAAGCACTGAGCGGACTCTTATGTATACCTACGTCTGGGCTATAGTGAGGCGCCAAAAAGTCTCCATAACGCTTGCGCAGCCACGTTCCCATGCCAAATAGTTCACGTTTGCCATTCTGCATTGGAGGCAGGCGAGCAGGTTGGTTGCAACGTCATTTTTTGTGTTAATAATGATTTCCGTCAAATTTGTTGGTTTTGTTTTTTATTATTTTGTAAGTAAACCAATGGCAAGGCAATGGAAATAAATAAAAAATAAAAAAGTTAAAAAATTTTATGAAACAAAATAAAATAGAGATAAAAATTAAAATAAGCGAATAAATTTAAAGTTGAAAGAATTAAATTAAATAAAGTAATAAAGTATAATAAAAATATATAAAGAAAACCAAACGAAGCAAAATTACCAGAAATAATATAAAATAAAATAAAAAAGCGAAATGGATTGCAACAAAATTAATTGTTTAAAAAATTAAACTGAAATAAAGTAAATAATAGATATAAAATAAAGTAAAAGTAAAATTAAAATAAATAAGTTAAACTGAATAATATAAAACTATATATAATAAAATAAATGTAAATAAAATTTTAAACAAATGGGAATAAAAAAGGAAATACATAAAACGAAAAAAACAAAAATATTTTATTATTAAATTTAATTAAATGAAATGAAAAAAAAATTAAATACAACTAATTAAACTAAAATAGAGTTTAAAAAAATTAGAGTTTTAAAAAAGTGAAACAAAGTTAATTATAATAAAATAAGTAAAACAAAAAATTAAACTTATATATGAACAGAAAACTAAAAAATTTTGGAAGTCTTTAAGATGATTCCGAAAAAGAAAACTTTATTAAAATTAAGTAAAATTTTAGTAACAAAAATATTATAATAAACTCAGAAATGTTTTGAGATCATTTTCATTATTTGTTTCATAGTCATGCTTAATATTTATTCTTAATACTTTTTAAATTTTTCCTCTTCTTCTTTTGGTTGTTTTTTTTTCGTTAATAAAATAACAAAATGAATTACTTACATTAGTTATGTGACCCCAGCCGAAGGGATAGAATGTCTGATTGATGTGTGGATCATTTGGATACGTATCAGCTGGTGTACGTGGGCCATGTCGAAAAACCTAAAAAAGGGAAATTTAATTTAGAAAAATTGAGTTAAGTCGGGATTGATTGGTAGTACTCCATCGTGTCTATTTCAAGAGGCATCACAGAAGGTGTGACAAGTGGTGCATAAATATTTAAACATTTAAGCAATGTGTAGCCACACAGTAATTCAGTAAGTAAGTCAGTCCGTCAGTGAACTTCAGCGTCTGGCCGAAATAATCTAAAAACAATATATGAAGGGATTTTCTTAAAAAGCCAAACTCAAAATATTAGTTCCCTGTCTTTTTGTTGTATCTATAGCCCATACCCTCAAAGATATACTCCATTTTGGAATACCGACTCATATCCTATTGGAGTGGAGCGAAGCTTAGCACCATGCCTTATAGTACATAAGGACTATGGAACAATTTTTGAGATATAACTGTAAGCTCGCACTTTGAAAATCCCATCGCACAATGAATTCCAAGCCAACTCCCAGCCGTAATGATTTCTATGTTGTAGTAGAATCACAAAAAAGTACAAAGGTAGACCTTTGAAATCGGATTGACACAAGCCCTAAATTATAACAAGAAAAAAACAAGGCATTCAGAGATTAACGGAATGTGAAGAAGCACCTCCAATAACGCAATCACACGTCGACGGTGAATCTAAAGCTCTTTGGGCTCTTTAAAGGTAGAAAATTTTCATCGTTGACAAATGAAAAAAAAAAATTTTGACTTTTTGCCATTAGAAAATTTGACTTTGAATGCAAAAACCAGGCAAAATACCCTTTTTCTTCTTCTTCTTATTCTTTGCTGGCGTATACACCGCTCACGCGATTATAGCTGAAAGCCAAGTAGGATTATTTTCTTTAAATGACAAGTTCACATTTTATAGCTTAAATTATATATGCACCACAATAGAACACTTCTTTAACATCGAACATTTTCACTTAACACTTTTAAGGTTTACAATTTTTTTTAATACATTTTTATTTATTTGCTTTCAAGTGCGCTGTTATAATTATTCCTTCATACATATGTGTGTGTGTATACACGTATTTTGATGTGTGTGCTATTTTATAATTTCCATTGTATGTGTTGCATTATCAAAACTCACCACATGTAATAATTGCAAAGTATCAGCATCGGCTTTGTCTATCGCTACAAATGTGAAAACGTTTGTACTGAGCAAACAAAAAATGAAAAAAATCAACGCCACCACTGCGCCAGTCATTGCTAGACGGTGTTTATTAGAGAAATGTGTGCGCGACATTTTCGAATACACTTTTATACGAAAATTACAAAATTTCTATATAAAAATTGTTTATCAATATTTTGCTATTATTGCTATTGTTATTGTTAATGTTGTTGCTGCTGCTGTTGTACTTTTATTAGATGCTTTTTGTCTTTAGGCTGCATGTGGACTTAGTTATGTGTGTATGTATGTATGTGTGTACTTGTTTCGTTGTGCTTTTTCTACACACTCGTACATTTGCACTTGGCTTGTTCTAAAGTTGTGTTAATTCTAAATTAAATAAAAAATAATAATATTGTTAACTAAAGGCGGTCGGTCGAGGTCGCCACCCAAATAAGCTATAATATTTTAAAAACAAAATAAAAAACTTAAATTTTTGCAATGTACAATAATGAGCCTTTCGTGTAAAATATATATAATTTTTTTTATTTGTAAGTATGTAGTTGATAGGAATAAAATATATATTTTGTTATATTTACTTTGATTAATTTACTTAATTTTTTTTTTAATAATTTTGCAGTTATAAAAAAAATGCAAGCTCAGTCAATCGCGCTCTAAGCGCTGAAAGCTTAAACAAAATTACTTTTTTTTTTTTTTTTTTGAGAAATGTAAAATCATTTGAAAATGAAAACTAATCGATATTTAATTTGCAATGTTAGTGAGTAATAATATTTTTCTATTAAGTAAGCAAAAAGATTAATGAAAAAAACTCATATTTAGCATTCGAAAACTGCACTTAGTGAAAGCTTTCATGTTCGCGTGACTTGCTATTTTCAGAAATATCTATAAATATTTTGGTGCTGATTTACTGTTCTAAACTTTGAATGAATATTAATTTTTAAGAAAAATGTCATGTTTTGGAAGTTAAAATCACCAAAGACTTACATAAGCACTCTTTAAACATTTCATTAGCCACTCATTAATTACTAAAATTTTTGGCAATGAAAATTCATTGTACTACATTAACAATGCAAATCATAATTATATGAAATTAAAAATGAAATCATAAAAATTTTAAAGTAAATATTAATTTTATAGACTCGTGTAAGGACCAACACATTTTTTCAGAGTGTCTTTTATTAAGGTGGTTTCCAATGTGGACACACTTTTTCGGAGTTGGGTCTATTTGACAGCTATCGAAAATGCTGCCGCGAATTAGAGCATCGAAAAGATCCAAATAAGTCCATCCGCCATCTTGCGGCAGGATCTTGGTTTGTAGGCCTACAAAATGCAACTCATGCAAGAATTGAAGCCGTACGACCACCAAGCGCGTCGCAGGTTCGATTAATATGCCCAAAATGAGACGGCCACCGATAAGGATGTTGGCAAGAAAATTATGTTAATCGATGAAGCTCACTTTTAGTTAAATCGCTAAGTCAATAAACGAAGTTGTCGTATTTGTAGTGACGATAATCTACAAGTCATTGTTGATGCGTTGTTACATCCTCCAAAAGTCACTCTTTGGTGTGCTCTATGGGCATGGGGGATCTTTGGTCATACCAACCATACCGGCCGTAATATTATACTGTGTTAATGGGGAATGCTACAGAACTATGATCAATGACTTTATCGTGCCTGAATTGGAGGCTGTTGTTGTGGATGACTCTTGGTTTTAATAAGACGGCGTTATATGTCATGGGCCAAAGAAACAATCATTTTATAGAAGGAAGCTATTGATGAGCGCATTTTATCTCGCGTTGTTTGTTTAAAATCATTTTTAAAACAAAATGACAATGTTTATGATAAAGGCAAATTTTTCGTCAGCATTTAATTTTATAAGTTTCATTTTTTCTTGAAAACCACATGTCTAAAAAAACACCTTTTGGTTCTTATTAGGTTCGCTTTATACTGTTTCTGATCTAACAACAGAACAGAGGGAGAAAATATTATTAAATTTTTAAATTAGTTTTTGATGAATTAACACTTGTTTGTAGCACTTTTTTCTAAGCAATTCCCTTGGCTTTTATCAATTTTTCATGACGACTTTCACTTATTATTTTTTGTTTCACTTAATGAAAACAAAAAAAAAAAATAATAATAATCAGCTTTGCAGTAATTTGCCTTATTTTTTAGGTTTCTGATGTATTTTTTTGTTTGAGTTAATTTATATTTAATATAAGCTATGTACTCGTAAATGTGGTTTGCTTATTGTAGCGTGTATTGATCAACTGTTGGCATAGGCATTAGCTAACGGTAATTAAAAATTATAACAGGTTTTACCAAAAAATTAACGCTTAACATTAAGGAGTGAGAGAGCTATTAAATGTCATGCATTTTTTTCTATAAACATACACGTATGTACATACAAACACAAGCACTTAGAAAAACTCGAAGTTTTTATTTGATTAAAACAAAAATTCAGCAAGCACATTAGATATGTATGTCAACATCTGTGTTTTTACATACATACATACATACATATTTAACGTATTGTTTATGAATATGTATGTAGATTTATCACATGTGCCCCGATTAGTTAAATGCTTTTTGTTAACTAACTCATTATCTAGTAGCAGTTGACCGATAAAATAAATTAATGCAGAGGCACACTTTATACTAATATTAATTTAGCGTTTTTTTTTGCAGATTTTATCTATATTTTTACATTTTTTCCATATTTTTATTTTCCATTAACATTATATTTCTTAATTATATTAAAGTATTTATGTACAATTTACTGTTGGTTTTTGTCTTTTTACTTTTTAAATGTATCTTTTGTTTTTTTGTTTGATTCCATTTATTTTTTAACTTTTTATTTTAGTATATCTTTCATATGCAGTGGCAGTTATCTGATAATTAAACCATCTGCTGTCACTTTACTGAGCTTAATTTAAAAGCCTTTTACTTTTTCGTTGTTTTCCTACTATTTTAGTCTTAATGGTAGTTTACTCGTAGTATTATTAAAAAATAAATAAATACACCAACAAGTGTTTTTAACCAACAAAATATCTCTTAGTTAGTTGAACGCGCAAACCGCGCCGATCCACGTACTCCGACGTCGAATTACTCGCACCGCCACTGACACTGGATAATTTAGATATCGTATGATGGCAGCAGACAAGGCGCATGTGAATTGTTATCTTTAACGTTACGTCGATTTTACTGTTGTTCTCTCATTATGATCTATTATATACACACGCTACGTTTAATAAGTAAATGCGAGTATTGTATTCGAGTTGAACTCTCCGCTCAACCGAATGATTTATTTTTGTTTAATTTGTATTTTCTTTTATTAATTTTTTTATTGTTGTCAGTTTTTGTTCGCGTTGATTTTGTTTTTGCCTGTCTTTTTTGCCGCAGAATTGCAGCACTTTTTATTTTCTTTTTTCCTTTTTTTTGGGATTTTTTTTTTAACAAAAAGTACGTGTCGATTTCTCTTTGCCCTTCAACTCTAAATTGCAACTTTTGTTAGTCGATTTATATTTATTTATTTATTTATATGCATAAATGCGCTTCGGAATATTTTATGTCAAATCGGTGTTGTAGTTATTGTTGTTTTTGTTTGTGTAAAAACTAATAAATATTTTTGCAATATTACGCGGCCGTTTAACAACTTATTTGTATCTTACATATAAAGAATAATGAAATCTACATATAGTATATAAGGGTATGTAAAGGGTGTGCTTTTAGATATGTAGTAAAACGCATATAATGCAAAGTTATGGCCAAAAACTAAGCTTTATAAGGGTTTCCACTTGCCATTGCACGATCTTGAAAGCCACTCCACAGGCCCACAACGCGAGCTGATGCTCTCACTAAAAGTTTCTTTCAATAAATTGACTCTTTCGCCGGCTTGTGTCATGTAGAAGCAAAAGGGTGTCCACATACGCCATCCTCCTATTATGGCCGGGTCTATTTTTGAAGAATTATGACAGAAAGTGACTTTTTGAGGATGTAACGCCTCAACAATTGCTTGTGGGTTATCGTCACTACAAATGTGACAAAATCGTTTTTTAACTTACCGATTCAACCGAAAGTGAGCTTTAACGCTAAAAAATTTAAAATTCTTGTAAAAATCGGTATCGGTGTCCGTCTCGTTTTGGGCATATTCATCAAACGTACGGATTCAATTCTTGCATGAGTTGGATTTTCTAAGCCCGCAAACTAAGATCCTTCCGCAAAATCTCTCTCATCTCTGATGATATGCTTTATACATTTGAGTAAACGTGGTTACCAGAATATTTTGCTCAGCAGGGCGATTATTTTAAACGAATCTTTGATGCAGCCCCCGGTTCTTTGCGAGAACCGAACCGTTATTTTGGTGATAAATATCGGATGTTCAGTAGTAAATACGTTCATTATGAAATGTCAAACCAAGTGACATCAGTCAAAAAGACCCAACTCTGCAAAAAGTATTGCCCATTGAGCATCACACGCCTAAAGCAACACCCTTTATGTAAATATGTAGCAACTTGTTGCACGACATCAATATGAAGCTCGTACATGTATACTGGTAAAGTTAGTGTTCCGCTCCCATTTAAATAATAAAAATAAAAGCGAACCAAATCGAAACCGCAAATTTGGCACACGGCTGCAAACGCTGGACCTAAGGAACCTTTAATTCACCGAAAAATTCGAAAAAATCACACAATGCATATTCATCTGTATGTATGCACGTGGTGTGTTGGCGCGGCCAGCCAGGTATGCATGCAGATCCACAAAATGCCTATACAGGTAATAAATTTACTTATTTATATTCCTCTTGCACATATGTTACATATATGTATGTATGTATGTATGTAGGTGTTTATGTGATTATTCACGCAATATGTTTAAGACGAGTTTGCCAATAAAAAGTGTAATTAATTTTAGTTTTATTTTCGGCCTGGACTGATGAAAGATTACACAGGCAATTTAAATGAATTACGGATATGTATTAATCGGTAGGAAATGGATGGGAAGCGCCGCCATTGATTGCCATTGCGAGGTGCTCGTCCGCACAGTGCACTCACATCGGTAAATTTTTCTGCCTTTCTTTGTGAATAAAAATAAAAATAAAAATAAATTTTTACACACATGCAAATGGTGGTTTTCAGTAAGAATTTAAATTTAATTTAAAAAAAAAAATGCAATACACGCAAATCACGTGTTATTTTGGTGTGTCTGAAGCTTAAAACTGAAATAAAATCACACGAAATTATGTAGTTCACTTCTTCGTGATTCTCTGGTACTCTTTGTGAAATTCATACAACGGTGCGATTCCACGATATTCAAATGAGAAGTTTTTATGACGCTGTTGTGGTCATCGTCACGGCACTGGGATTTCCGGTTGGAAGAATTATGTTTCAAGCGACCGGTGAATCATTTACCGCAGTTTTTTTCTTTTTTACTCAAAAACGCATTTGAGAGTAATAATTTTCCAAGTAACCCTCCAAAGCAGCCCTTTGAGTTGTTCGAAAATGCTATTTTTGATTGGACTAAATTAATAGTGTTAAGGGACTGCCCTTAAATTTTATGATGGTAACACCATGAGGAGGATGGGACCATGTGTCGAGCTTCACGCAAGTTAGGGAAATTTTTTGACTGCCTTTCACCTGGGAGTGGGCAGAAACGAATTTTTCACAAATAGTTCAGCAGCTCATGGCTTCCGGTCTTAGAGCAAGACCAAGTGTCTGCTGGGTAGCCAGCAAACATCAGTTTAGGACGCGCCATATAAAAGTAATACTTCAATGGAAAATAGCAAAAAGACTCCGATGAGTGACCGCCTCAAACGTTTTAAGAAAAAAGATTTGAGAGCATGCTAATGAACTGTCTTATCTCTTAATTGGGAAGGTGCCGCTGACCAGCTGGTTGATGTCCTAAACTAAAGGCTGCCATCACCGCCGTCAAAGATGTGCGATGGGTGGATAAGAAAGAAAGAAGGAAGGTTGGACTCTTTAAAACCTACTGCAGCGGCCATACAAAAGAGTGCATATGGTAATTATGGTGGGAGAGAGACTCTGTCGCCGAGTGCTGGCATTCACGCTGGCGGATGAACGACGGAGCTGCCACTGTCATGATGCCAACATTATGCTTAACAGCTTTATGGCCATGGATCTGCCTGCGTCACTGTGGGCATTAATAACTTCGAGATAGCAGATAATTTCGTCAATCTAGGGACAAAAATTCGCACCAATGATAATGTCAGCCTTGAAAACCAACGCAGAATAGCTCTCTTGCCAGCAGATGCTACTTTGGACTGAGCTAAGTCATGTTGTCCAAATGAATAAAAACGCTCTAAAAGTATACGATGCAGTACTCGCTGGTGGAAGCAGAGAAAGAGGAAGACCTCCACAGCGTTGAGAGGAGGATCAGGGGAAGAGCCACCTGGTATTCTTTGGCATTGCCAACTGGCGGGATCAGGGGAAGAGCCACCTGGTATTCTTTGGTATTTCCAACTGGCGCCAAACAACGAAGAGAGGAAACGAATGACGCGCGATTGTTGATGCAAAGAAGAAGAAGACGAAGAATAAGAATGTTTCTTCTTGCCAATTAATTTAATTCAAATTATTCATGAATATACATTTGTAAAACAAGAACTAATAAGAGCGATATTTTCAAAGTAGGGTGCCAGTATGGTATAACGAAATTTCGCACATATGGACACTCGTACTCGTACATGTATATGCATATATATACATATTTAAGAAGCTTTGAAAACTATGTTAAAGTTAATCTCTGAAAAAATATTAGTTGGTCTTAGTCAGTTTAAACAGCACGAGACTTGCACGGGCAAGCAGTAACAGTGCCGTTTATATGTATGTATGCGCATGTTTGCATGTATATATGTGAGCAAAGCCAAAGTAAATAGGACATTACGATAAGATGAGCTTATGATTAATTTTAGTTGGTTGGCGCCAATATTTACAAATCTTAAAGCTTTCCAACTGAGCTCGCTTCGCTACTATATTTAACATTTTAATAATCAAATATTCAAATAATGAAAACAAAATCAAATTGTTGTTTGATTAGTAGAAAAACAACAACAACAATAAAAAAACTTATTGGCAGATGATTGTGGCGAGATTTCCGCTTATACAACTCAAGTTGATTACGCAAAGTACGAATATAATTGCCTTAATTAGTTTAAATTTCTAAATATTTATTGATTGCATTATATTCGACTACTATGTAAATAAAATTCAGTTGTATTTACAAATAAATTTTATGCAGAAACCATTGGAAATCAATAGTTCTAGGTACCACAAATCTGTTATTATTTTATTTTATTTATTAAGGAGCAAGAAATTTTGTATTGAGCAATTCCATACCTAAGGGCCATGCGTCCTATTTCTGATTTTTTTTGAAATATTTAATTTTAAATAGAAATAAGAATTTCTGTTCAAGAAAAGTTTTTTTTTTTAACTTATATTTTTGGATCAAAGGGAGATTAAAGAGTAATGCTCATTTTTTCTTTTTTTTTACTTTAATCATTATTTCTTGACTTCACGAAACAAAAAAAAAACTAAAGAAAACTCTTTAGCTCTCACACCAAATCAACGTAAAAATTTCCTACCTAATATTCTGCGCAGTTAGCATCTACTTTTCAGACTTTCAATAGCTCCATGAAGCGTAATTCAGGGGATGTAGTTACAGTAGTGGGACTATACTCAATACGTGCTCTAGCGTCCCGCTCATGTATCCTAGAAATGCAACCAACCCTTTTGCAAGATGCGGTAACCAAACTGCTCCACACGGTTGGATTTCGGCTGAAAGAGAGAAAGCTTCAGTGAAGCCACTTCGACAGATTTGGCTTAACGGTTTGCTTAAGTCGTGGCTTTTCGCCAGAGGTGCGACTGAGTATCGGCCTTGAAGCAAGCGGCTTGCTATGTGAATGCGTGAAAAATTTAGTGAGCTGAGTTTGGGACCCACCATATGCAAACCAGCCCCAATCAAAAAATTAGCAATGCCTCGGATGAGAAAATCCATTTTGATGATGACCATTGCAAAGACCTCCTCAGACTAAATACTAACTTATAACGCTGTCCAAGAAGTTCGATAAAACGGGACAAGGACGGAAGAATGAGAGTCCTTGTGAATTCTGCGAAAGCTTAAAAAAGTGTTTGATGCAATACCCGTTTGTCGAAACAGAGGAGAAAGAAGACTGCCACTCCGTAGGAAAGAACAGGTGGAGAAAGATCTAGCTCTTTGTGGGATTTTCAATTGGCGCCAAAAAGCGATAAGGTGCCTTGTTATTGAGTTGGATATAATTTGGTAAGCGCTGTCTTTGCATATTAGTGTAGTATATAAGCAAAAATCCGAGCTCTTGATAAGGTTGGTGAGTAAGAGGCGGGATGTTTATACCACCCTATCCTCACTTACTACACGTCTCACTGTTTGGAATGTCCGTTTGTTACGCATGTGACGTCAATAATTTGCGACCGAGGGTTAGGTCTACACACATCCTGCAGTTCTTTCGAGACGCGGTTAACCATCCATTCCTCACTGTGCTCTTGTTGCTTAGCTATTAACGTTGCTGATGATTTTAATATTTTTTTTGGACGAGCCGCCGAACAGACCTAACTGGCTGAATTCATTCGTTATTCGGCTATAACTATCTCAACTACTTTGTGCCGTTACATTCAAGCGATTCAATATTTATTTTTAATATTTTTAATTTAATTTTTAATTAAACAAATTATAGACTAAAACATGGAAATAATTAAGTGTTTTTTTTTTTGTATTAAATTATATTAATTTAAAAATGAAACTTTTTATCATCTAAACGCGATTGACTACATGGTCCGCATCTAAAAATTAATCAGCGCTCAAGTTTTCATTGAAATTTCATTGATAAGACTGACAAAAAAGGTGCGCAAAATATAATTCTGCGCTCTACCATATTGAAATATTAGAACCAGTGTACCGTAAAATACGCATGTGCTTGTCTGCTCATAACAGTGGCATTAGTTTGACGTCATAAATAATTATTGTGATATTATATGCCATAGGACTGAGGCCAGCTTGTCATTAGCAAAGCCGTACAGACGTCGACTGGGTGCTTGGAACAAATTTATCTTCAGCTCCAAAGCCATATCGTGCGATTTGACACCGCTGGACATTTTTTTGAAGGGCTGCGAAAGACTGTGTTTAAGCAGAGAAACCTTTTACTATTAAGTACTTCCAAGCAAATATTCGACCAGATATGGATGGTGGAGATACCGTCCGATTTGTGTCAAAAAGTGGTCGATGTATGTAGAGTTTCATATACAACGCGGTTCAAGCTTTCCATTACAAAATGAGTTTCGTGAAAAGCATTATTTTAATTGTATTTTATAAAATATTATATTTATAAACAATGAATTAGAAAGCCTGATAATATGCAATGAGATAATAATAAAAATAAAATTGTTAATATTCCAAATATTTAATTACAGTTTCGGACATTTTTTCAGAAAAAAACTTTACACTCAGTAAATGATTTTTTTTTTTTAATTTTTTTCCAATTCGCTTTGTATATTTGCAAACACATGAAATATAATGTCTGTTAATTATACTACAATTACCATCACGTTTTATACGAATGCAATTGTTTACCTTGAACTTTTTCTCAGGCGTTGCAGACACATTCATACCTACATCATATTGCTTATCTCTTCTAAGCAAACGTGAAAACATACACATACATACAAATGTATATACATACAATACATATACTCATGTAGAATGGAGTATTACAACAAAGAGGCTGGTATCAGCCAATTCGAAGTGCATTTGTATACGAGTACATACATATAATTACGTGTATGTATGTAAATAAGCATTTATTGTTAAAGCTAATAATTTAATCTCTTTTCATTTATTTTGGGATTTGCTTATTAATTTCTAATTAGATGTTATTATGTGATCTTATTTGCGAAACACCTCTGGAAAATAGCTGATACGGCAATTTTTGCTGGGTCAACTGATACATTATCAATGACTGTGGGATTGGTTATATATAAAAGCAAGGGCACAATAAAATTCAGAATTAATTATTTTAATTTATGCATCTGAGGTAGATCAGGGTTTGTTATCACTGCTCGTACTACTACCTACTGCTCAATATATACATACATATAAATAAATATAAATAGATGTATTATGCTTCTACTCAAGTTTTATAATATTTAATATCGTTTTTTTTAAGACTGAACATATTTTCAGGACAATGACGTTTTTGAATCTGTGAAACAGTAAGAAGGAAAACCAAGTATTTGCCCTTAAATATTGATTTAATAAAGAAAGAATTATACATCTTAAAAATAAAATTTTTATTAACTAATATTAAGCAAAACTTTAAAAAACATAAATTTTTAATTTACAAATTTCAATGGTGTACCCAATAATTAATTAATTTATTTATTCCAACAACACAGCTCCTTTCTTTAACACAGTTAAATTTCTTTAATCTATTTAGTCTTTTTCGTTGTTTAAATAAAAATTAAATGCGCTCTTATGCCATTTTATTGGTGTAAATTTGTGGCAAACTTTCTTATTCTAATTATTTTACTTAACTGAGTTTGCATGCAACTCTGCTATTAAAATTAACTACTCGAAATTTGGCAGCACTGAAGCTACGATTGGTAGCATTTAGCGCACAATGACATTTCGTTTCAGCAATTATTCAAATAAAAGAATAGTATTTGAGATTTTGCTATTATTGTAATTAAAATAATGTATTTTGCTATCTATGTACCTATGTATACGTGTTTGATTGGAAATGAAGCAAGCATAGGGCGAGTATAAAAAACCTACAACACAGTCGTTGGCTCGTAAGCGATAAGTCGCATTCCGCACAAACTTTTCCGAAACATAGACTTATTAAGAAATTTGTTTAAGTAACTCTAACTGCTATTATTCTGGATGTTCATTACTGTACTTACTTCCTTTGACATGTTTTCAGCAGCAGTTAAAATAGGGTACTATACAAAAGTGTAAGAAAATAATGAACTATTTTTTCCTCCATTTATTTTTTGTAGTCAGTTTTTCATTTTAAACAGCTTAATAAAAAATAATAGTTAATGCGCAGACATAATTTTATTGCTAAGCCAAATGTTGACTGTATCTAGTACTTTATACATCTATTGTGATATTTATTAGTTTTGAAGCCAAATACATACAATGAAAGATTTTCTCTTGGTGTCAGTCCTACAGGTTTCGGTTATGAAATTAATAAATAAAATACGACACCGGCAATGAAAATTAATTAAGACTATTTTGAAAAAATTTCACAACTTAAAATCACAACTTTTTCATCTAAAAAATTGCATGAGTCGTCACGTTGAAATATTTCATATAGTAAATTTAGCTCTTCGGAACAGTTTAATGATTAAGGATGTGTAATACATGCGGCCGCGTTAGCCGAGTGGTTAGCATTGCGTACTGACATTCGGAAGGCTCGAGTTCAAGTCCCCGTGCGACCAACCTCCAAAAGTTATAGAAAATTAATTTAAACAAAAAATTAAGTTAAATTTCCTAATTGCGGTGGCAGCTGGGTAGCAAATATCAACCTCTCCGTGTGTTTTTCTGATATAAAATAAAGCTCCTCATAAAAAAACATCAACCACTCGTAGGCGGCTTGGTATAAACTTTAGGTCCCTCCATTTGTTGGAAAAAAATATATAAAGACGCAAAAACACAAATTGGAGGAGAAAGGAGCTCGGCCGAAAATCGCTTAAGCGGTTACAAAAGCGCCAATTATACAATATATAATACATGCGCAGGGTCCGTTTAAGGAATAATAGTTTGGAGGATAACTTCCAATTAAATGAAAAGTTGTAGATATGGATTCGATTCTTTAATAACAATATTTTTTCCAAGGGGTGGAAATTCCAAAGGGATTTAATGAATGACTGAATTAAGCGTGGCCGCTTGTAACAAATGACAAATATCACAATAAATCATGATCAAACTAACGTAGTGCAGTCAACCGCACGCATATAAGAAATTTATATACATTCAAAATTAAAGATCGATTAGAATGAGTTTCAAGACCTCGATAGGACCTGAAATTTGTGATTCAGACATAAAATTAAGTTAAGAATGAAGTCTGTATCCTGCATTTTCATGAATTTTTGCGCTAGTTCTGTTGGAGCTAGTTCTTCTTGACTTTATTAGACATTTTCTGATTACTCTCTTTTTATTTTGGTATTTTCTTAACCCAACTACACACATACATAAATATATAAATAAAATAAAATTAATACTTTTCCACTTATTTACTTATACTAATATTCCTAATAATTATTATTTTGGAGATTCCACTACAAGCGGTGGCGGCTCTTTGAAATCAGGATTAATCGGCTTGCAACGCTCCTCATGTGTTTCATTGGGTATTATATCTGCAGACATTTCTATGAACTTGTCTAATGGGCATTTAGTACCACAACCTGGGATGTCCAATAATTCGACACAACTCCTGTTACGTAAATAAAGCTGTAAGAAAAAAAAGTATTAAAAATATTCATTCTACATTCATGTCATAAAATGTCCTTCCATAAGTGAATTTTTCTCTCGGTGCTAACTGATTGAATTTTTAGCTTATAAAATTGAAATTTGAAAGAAATAAAGTTATGTTCTTGAAAATGGCATAGCCTGAAAATGAAACACCCTATTGTGCTATGCAAGATTCTACGATATATTCTGATAGGTACACACCTGTACGTAGTAATCGCCTGTTTGTTGATTTTGATGCAATTCAAATATAATTGTCACTGCAAAGTGTAACGGTTGAGGTTTCCACACCTTCACTGCCGCCATTAAGCTTCCCATAGTCCAATCGTGCGCTGCGTAGATGTACAACTTACGCTGGAGTTTTCTCTTACGTTTTTCAATCATTTCGGCAAACATTTTTTTCACAAACGGACCGCTTTTGATCTTCAACATCTCTCTGGTGTAGGTATTATAGGTAACACTCCGCTCAGCTATGTGTTGCATTTTTTCAGGAAAGTATTCCGTAACAAATTCTGGTAATTTTAAGCCGTACTCTCTCTGCGTCATTGAAGAGAAAAAGATTATTAAATGCGTATTATTAATAATTGTAATTCCAGCCAAATTCACATTTGGACCACTTTTATTTGATAAATACTGCTGCGCCGAAAACTATGTAATGAAATTTAGACTGAGATTAAACTTTTGTTTGACGGAATTAGACTATCAATAGCAAAAAATATCGGTGAATTGTGCCTACCATGTGAAAAGTGTTAGAATACAAAAAGAAACACAACTACCTCAGACTTGTTATGGCAAGATCCACAACAACAGCCAAGCTTTAGATATAAATTTATTCCAGATCAATATGACGCGGAGGGTGATTATACATACACTCAGAAACAATTTTTTCTAGTTACAATCGCCCGTCGTCCACCCTCTTGCAAACGACTCTGGCATAACAAAATCGTAAATCCCACCAATTGGAGCAGTAAAAGACACGCAGTAAAGAACGTCGGCAGCAAACATAAAGCAGGTTCGGAGCCGAAAAGCTGCAATCAATGCCACGCGGTTTTCAACTGAACTTGCACTACTGATCTCTGTGTGCACCTAACAACAACTTATGTGCACCATCTGTGGGAAACTATCTGTTTTCGACAAGGGTGAAAGAATAGCTGGTAGGGATGAAGATTGTCGTACCGCGGTGGAGAGTAAGATACGGCACATCACGTAGCGTTGCGATCGGCCACAATGCGTGCTACGTGTGAAGAATACCGATAGTTACAGAGAGAAGCGAAACTCATATGTAGGGAAGAAAGAGGATGAAATGAAGGAGAATATACAGCTTGAGAAGCCGATCGACAAGGGGTCATTATCGAGAGTTCTATGAAAAAAAAAAACGAACAAAAAATCAAGCTCTGCAAGTCGTTTATCAATCCATCTCACTGTATAGTGCAGAAGTTTGGAGGATGGCATGATCCCATGAGTCGGCGCTAGCAGATTTCGAAAGTTTGAACCAAGAAATACTTTTTTTTTTCTTCTTACCTGTGCTTCCAGAGTTACGTACATCAGATTGACATCCTGCGCAGATTCAATGGGCATTCCGAATATTCTAGTTAAATTTTCAAAGAGCCATTTATTTTGCTCTAGCTCGGCTTTTACGTGCGGCAATTGAAGCACTTCCTCGAGCGCCTCAGCAAAACGGGGACAGGATGGGCGTATCAGAAGCAACTGAAATAATTATAAAATTTAAAATTAATATATTTTTGCATAAAAACTTAGAGAATATTACATAATTAAATATAAATATCAAATATATAAATAAAAGAATACTCTTTTACCATATCATTTTCTAACGGCTCTGTAAATATTGGTATTGGTTGCCAATTGTATTCAGGGTTCCATTCCATAGGCGTGCCACGTGGTGGAAAAAAACTAGCGAGCACAGTGGAGAGAGACATAAGCGTACGCGGTGATCCTGTTGATTGAGCGTGAACCAACTGAAGAGTAAATATTCGATAAAAAAATATTAGAAACAAAATACAAATAGATATAGAAAATATAGTTTTAAAAATATATGTTCAGTGTTCAAAATGCTAAAAGATTTTTTATTGAAACCACATACATCTGGCGAATAGTAAGGTTCCATAAATTTTCCATATCGCTTTCTTAGCCATTTTCCCAGCTGAAATAGTTCGTCTTTGCCTCTCTGTTAAGGAAAACAGATAGCGAAATATAAAAATTTTTAATCATAATTACAGTACAAGAGTGTTGTGTTGCTTATGAAGCAAACAATTTCATTACTCACATTTGTAAGATGACCCCAACCGTAGGGAGAATATGTTTCGTTTACGTAAGGATCGTTTGGATAGGTTGTAACCGGTGTACGCGCCCCATGACGCAATACCTGATAAAGAGAGTATTTAAGTATTTATTATTATAAATATATTATGGTGTACGTATTTAGATGAATTCTGTGTTCCTGGAAATACAAATATACATTTGAATTAATATTTTCAAATTTTATTAATATTCCTCAGATGTTTACAAATCTCATAAAAAGCTATTATTTATTTCTTAGCTGATGATTTGCGTGGGAGAAAACAAAATTTTAATACTGAAAAAGCACATTTTTAAACTATTCAGCAAACAGCGTACAAAAAGACCTACTTTAATATACATCAACGAAAAAACAGGGGTTTCCCATTGATTTTAACCTGTTGCTTGGTCAATAAGCAATTCACGGGGATCAATTGATTTATTTCATTTGTTAAAAATATTCATAACGAAATAATATTTTGAAATTTGAAAAGTGACCTAATAATACTTTCTCAGTAAAAAAGAATTCGCAAACTTTGAAAAAGTTATCTAAGAAATTCTTTTAATTACTAATAATGAGAAATCAGATTTTAGTATTTTTCAATTTTTGCGTACAATTTGAAAAATGTCAATGCGTTTAAAAATAAAAATTAAGAAAATTCGAGCTTCTTCAATGTTGTTGTTGTTGTAACCGCAAAATTATTCCCCAAAGTTCTTTTTGGGGAATATTGCGGGAGTGACAGTCCTTGACCGGATAAAAATCCGGTTCGTTCCGGTATATAGACACGACTGTCGCGGCAACTATTGGATTTTAGTTGCCTCTTACGACAGGCACACCTTACCGCGGGTAAATTCTTGAACTCCTAACCCGCAGGGGGGCGAACTTCTTCAATCATCGGCCATACTTTCATCCGACCATATTTTGCAAAGAAACTGATGCAGTCACCTTATGGGTTTTTTTTTTTGTTGTGTTCCGAATGGGCGATTGCTATTCGACTTTCCTCACAGTTGGGCAATGAAACACGTGCTCCAACGTCACCGATTAGGGAATCGGGCTTTCTGTTGTGGCACTTTCATTGTCATTCAGCATCTGGTTTGGACATCAGTAACTCTGGGTCCTACGAGAGTCTGCTCCATTTTTGAAACCGTCAGTTCGCCGTATCAGAGCATCACCCTTAGCAAGCTCTACACACTCTGCACTCTTTCTTTTCTGACTGCACGTGAGTATACCTTCTCTCCGCTCGTATTATGGTCTATCGCTACTTTGCGAGGTACGCATAATGTTTTTTCTCCACTGTAGCACGGCAATCCCCATCATACCAGCCGATTTTGCAACCATTTCGATAACCAATAGCTCCGTCTGCAGCTGTGTGTACGTAGGAAGCTGGAGCTGTCCTACAGTTTCTTTATACCGAGTTGCTAAGGAGTAATCTCAAAGAGCAAACCGATTAAACCCAATTAAGAGACTTTACGTCCCAATTGCATGCCCTGTAGTCATGGTCCGTAATACTTTTGCGATGTTTGAAATCAAAAGGGAAATTAAGAATTTGGCCACAGGGTAGCAGCTCATAGTGGATACGACAAAACCTTCCTAATTGTCAATCTTGGTTAGGAGACCGTTTGTGCATGCCCACTGCCCTTCCACCATGTCAGTTTCTCTTTGACGTTGCCGTAAGTGGTACACTTTTCACCACCAGTCACCATCTGCTTCAGAAATTTACTCCCTTTGTTACGATTAAGGAACGGCTCGCAGATGGAAATTCCGTCCGTGAGGGTTTGTCTCCTCATCTGGCACCCATACATCGATCTTCTGTGTATGTATCCCCTTTCAAACCCGTAAATTGGACAAAGTTACTGTTGCCAGATGGCTCAGAGTTGATCAGACGGTGAGTATAGTAAATAGACCGCAAAAATTATGTAAATGTAAAAAAAAATTATCCAAAATGCATTAAGTCTTCGCCGCTAGTGCGCTAAATACGTTAGTGCAATGTTTTAAATTATTCTAATATATAATAAAAATAAAAACAAAAAGTACATGATTATATACTTACAATATGCACCAATTTCAGTGTGGAGTTGGAAGTGTCCACACTTTCGTCGGTACAATTGTAGAGCCATTCTCCAGACTCTCCAGACTCTCGATGCAGCGCGGTGGCAGTAGTAGTAGTATAAATACAAATCAGTACAACCGCTATTGCAGCAATAAGACCAAGCAATATGAGCACATGTTTGAGTGTAATTTTTTGAAAAAACATTTCTCCACAAATTTTACAACAATAAGTAAATATAGAAATAAATAAAAGTTCACGATCAAAAAACGTCCCTTCACAAACCGGTCACTAACCGGAAGAATGTTTAATAATGCAAACACACAAAAAAACTCCAACAAAAATCTGTCAATTAAAATTAGATTGAAAGTACTGGCTTTAATTATAATTACGGTACACAGACTTCACTTAAATCTCAACCACAATTGGCGACTAAACGTTTTATTCAGTATTTAAATGAGAAATGCACACAAATTTTACTCAACTACTGCAACAGGCAGATTTTTAATTTTAATTTTTTATTTTTTATTTTACTTTTGATTTCATTTTTTTTCGTTTCTAACAGTTGGTACAAAAACAAAAAAGCGAACGAACGCCGGATCGGCCAAGTGACTAACTGAACTGCTGCATTAATCTACACAGCGCCGCACCGTACTACTGCACTGCACTGCTTGGATTCGCTCTTAATTCTAAACTTTGTGACCGATTCAGCATCGGATTATATCTCAGAATTTCAAAGTGGTACGTCAGCTGCTCGCCGCTCGCTGCTTTAGCATTCGAAATGAACTTCCGTCACTCGGCGGTTTTTTGTCCGGAAGGGAAATTAACGAATGCACCGAAATATTGACTGCTTGTGTGTTTGCTACTGCTACTGTTGTTTTTGTTATTGTTGTTGTTGTTGTTGTAATTGTTGTAACAGAATTTAGAAGCCAGAATTTGTTGAATTCTTTAAACCAGCTAACCTCCAGCTAGCGACTGCTAAGTAATAGCTGCACCACGAGCTGCTATATACACACATACTCGTACATAGATATGTATTTGCTCTCAACTCTCTAGAATTATTATTTTTTACCTGCATAACTATGAGTGTGTGTGCATTTGTGTATTTTTTCGCACTTCTTGCAAATACTTGGATAAAAAAAAAATATTTAATTGCTCATTATTATTAGTAAAAGAAAAACAACAACAACTACAAATATTCATGTTTATACAACTGTGTATATACATATGCACATGTATGCATGTTCAATTGTTGTAATAAATGTTCGTGTGTATATGTGTAGGTGCTGCTAATATACTAAATACCAATCAATCAGTTGTACAACAAATAATTTTCACGGAATCTCAAACGATTCAAAAAAATTGTATACGTACATACATATGTACGTTTACGTGCACTACATAAATGTATAAGTAAATATGCACAGATATTGTTTAAGTATTTTTTTAAATCCCCATTATAAAATTATGTGTTATAAAGGGTGCTGCGAAAGGTGCGGTCTTAGAAAAAAATAAAATTTATTTAAAAGTTTTATTCCAAATGTTAAACAATTCTAACTGAGAATATATTAATTGCAAAAAAAAAAAAAAAATTAAGCGGAAAAGCTGTCTTCGGCCATGTCGTATTTTTGAAAGAGTTTTGAGTAAGAACCTCATATCTGATCAACTCGATTGTACGTAAGCTCTATAATATACTCTACCGAATCCGAATCAACGCAACTCGTCATTCTGCTCCGGTCAGTGTAAATTATGATGGGTCTACCCCTACTCCTTTTCGTACTTAAATACTTTGGACCAAAGTGATTATACCATTTCATGTACATGAAAGGTACTCAACTAAATGACTCCGCTCTTTGACTAGTCCCAACAAAACACACTCATCAAAGAATATTCAGAGGTATAACAACAAGGCAGGGATCGGCAAGAACATTACAGTTGCGATGATAAATTCATATTATCCGATAATTATTCGCCATCTTGAGTGATAGCAATGCGTAATTCAGGAATTCATTCGAAAGTGCTGGTCTGACCAACATTCAAATATCCTAGAAACTTAGTTCTAATAAATAATTAAGTTAATTTTTCTCTTCTGAGTACATTTCGGGTATAAAACAAAAAAATCCATGAACCGATCAAACGCTCTCCATATGTCCAAAAATTGGATGAGGAGCTCAGTCTAAAATCGCTTCAGCGGTTATAAAGCGGTACTTATGTCTATACATACATATTTTGGTGGTGAGGGTATTCATATTGTCCTATGACGTTACAAATGAGAGATGCAAAAGCTAATGAACGAAAGCGTTGTTGTGACGTACCGCACGCTTAATGATGGGAGGCGTAGGGAAATGCCTATAATCCCTCCCTTTATGTAGCCCAACGTGGCTCTTCTTGGACGAACTACGTGTTCTATGGATATTCCCCAATTTTATATAGTTATGAACGTAAGACGATTGAATATATTTTATTTCCGACTGCGCTAATATATTTATAGCCGCTGAAGCGATTTCCGGCCAAGCTCTTCCTCCAATTTGGGCTTTTAGAGGATCTGCAGCTTATTCAAAGCCGCCTCTGAAGCTTTCATACAGGTGTACAACTTTGCTTCCGCCGTTTTCCGATAGGTGGCTGTACCAACTGAGGCTGGTTGAAATACATAGAAGATAATGCCTTTAAAGTGAGTGTGGACAGTGCCTAACAAATTGTCATTGCCGTTTCAGTGACAGTTGTTCTTGTTTTCGCATTATTCACGCTCGAAAATGTCCGTTTATGTGCCTAATTCGCGCCATTTGCGGGAAATTTTACTTTTTTGTTACAGTTCGAAAAAAAATGCAGCTGAAGCGCATCGAATACTCTCAGAAACTTACGGTGATGCTGCTCTGACTGAAAGAACGTGTCGGGAGTGATTTCGATGTCGAAGAAAAACAAGGTTATGATTTGTATTTGGTGGGATCAGCTCGGTGTGATTTACTACGAGCTCTTAAAACCGGGTCAAAACTATCACAGAAGATCGCTACCGAACGCAACTGATGCGCCTTAGTCGCCGCTAAAAGAAAAGCGGCCACAATATCAAGAGCGACATGACAAAGTCATCCTCCAACACGACAATGCTCGGCCTCACATCGCAAAAGTGGTCAAAAAGTACCTGGAAACGCTGAAATGAGAAGTCTTACCCCACCGGCCGTATTCCCCAGATGTCGCCCCTTCTGACTTCCACCTATTCCGTTCGATGGCACACGGCCTGGCAGATCAACCTTTTCAATCCTTCGAAGAATTGGAAAAATGGATTGCTTCTTGGATAGCGTCAAAAGAGGACTCCTTTTTTCGAGCCGGGATTCGAAAATTGCCGGAAAGATGGGAGAAAGTTGTCGCTAGCGAAGAACAATACTTATATATCTGTAAGCACTCTTTCGCTTTTGAACGGCGGAAGCAAAGTTGTACACCTGATACCATGTCAGAGTTACACGCCGTATGCTTGACTTTCCCTGCCGAGGGACGGCCGCAATTGGAAAAATTATTTTTCAAACTAGGACTCGAATCTTAGCCTTCCGAATGGCCATTTCATTGTCCACATATTTATTTGTAAGCAAGTAGTTTTCATCGACATTTTAACTAGCAAACATAAAGACAAACCTTAGTCAAATACACTATGCACAGTTATGTATTACATAATATATAAACATGTTAATATTTTTGCCGATTTTGCAGCCAGGTTCATCACACTCGTACCAACTAGGAAAGGCCTCACGTCATGGACAATTTATCATCCTTAGTTTAGACGAATTTCAAATAGTTCTATCACATCAGTATCAATTTGTAACTGTGAATGTATAAACATACATAAATTAACATTGTTGTACACAATTATTATTTCTTTTTCGACTTTGTTTTTGTATTAATAGACTTACAGTTACTTGGTATATGTAATTACCCAATTATTTGTGGTTTATAGAGCTGAAATATGTATTATGCAATAATTTAATGCAATTTCATAATTATTTACTTGTTGATGAATTACACGTGGCCGAGTGCATAGTACGAGTGTGTTTGTTCGTATGCGTATTTGCCATAATATGTAAATATATTGTGTGTGTGTGTTTGCACATTTATTCTTACTAATTTAATTTGATTTCATATTAATACGATTTTGTATTTATTTGCACTTTCATTATGGATTTGGGATTCGGGTTAAAGTTCCTTCGACTTTTTTCGAACTTTTTGTCGTGCAATTATTTGTAATCAGTATTTGTAACGGTTTCTCGGTGTCTATTGAAGACTTGCTTGTACTCGATTGGATTTTTAGAACAAATATTTTTCAAACTATGTGCATAAATTAATTTATTTTTTAAATCAAAATTATATATTTTTAAAATAAATGTAGATTTCAACTATGTTAGACCTTAGTTCTGTAATTTTTCCTTAAAAATTTTGAGATAACTTTTCAAAAAGTATGCCCGCAAAGTTCTTGAAATAATCGGTTTTAAACTGAGCATTGAGAATTGAAGCAAAATGCATGTACAGTGAAAAATATAAAGAGGTCGTGATGCGTGAGTATGTAGAGCTTGAGAAGCTGGCCGACAGCTGTAATGCTCTAAAATTCTATGAAAAGATAATAAAGAATAAGTTTGCTATACCCAATCGACAAATGGGAGGCACAACATTTTTTCTTGCGTATCGTAGACACGCCAATTACCGTGGGATAATCCCCCGCAATATCGCATATAAGATCTCTTCGAGCGTATTGTGTGAGAGACTGAAATCAACCGTCAACAAATTTATAAGGCTTTATCACTGTAAGCTGACGTTGTGTAATGCCAAAAAGATCGGGAAGGAGTTCGCTGAACCGTTTGATACCAAAGGAAGTCTCATACTCCTCCTTAACTCCTTATCGTGTGACTTCTTTAATATATTCCTGAAGAATACAATGCGAGCTGCAGAGTTGAATAGTAAAGGTATAATATTTTACAAGGGTGTACAACTACTAGGGTATGCCGATGATATTAATGTGATATCGTCAACAATCGCGCCGTAAATTTGATTTGCTCCAGACTGTAGAATGAAGAGAATTAAAAGAAATGCATTTCACCATGTACATTAACATAGGCGACTCTTCTGCTGAATCTTAACTAACGCGATTGATTTCTAACGCCGCAGTGATCGATAAGCCTTTCGCTTATCTCAATTGCAAGTGGTTCAGAGCGAACTCCACATCCCAGTTTGTCATAAAGTTTTGAAATGAGGAACTGACTTCAGGGCGAATTACATTTTCCGATAACTTCAGCAAAGTTGTCTGCGATCTCAACAATGCTATTTAGTTCAAGATTCTAAGCAAATCCGTCTCACGTAAGTCATTTTCATACTTTCAACGTATATGTAGCAAAGAGAAGCCTTGACGGGTACAGCTTGTTAATAATAGTTTTCCTGCATTTTTTTTTTAAGTTTTTAGCTATGGTCACTTCAACAAATATTTAATAAAATGTGGAGCAATTCGCCTAATTCTTTTCCCGAAAGTTAGCTAAGGGATCAAGCTTTCTTTTGGTATAATATATATATGTAAGGAAATATTATGAATATGATTTTGATCAAAAATTTTGAGCCAAAGAGAAAACTGCGCCCACACACTTCCCTAAGTCTCTAGTTATTAGACAAATATGGCTTCTGTATTTTCAGATTGCCAACCATACATTCATATGACATACACGTACATATGTATATATCACTCTAGTCTTAAATAATATGTATTTCGAAATTCTGTAGCACTTAACTACAATTTAATGAAGTGGTGTTCATGGCAGAGAGCAAATCTTAAAACTCAAATATTCACCTGCACTTTTACATGCAAATACCCTTGCGTACACGTACATGCACACATACATTCTTAATTTATTAGTTTATTTATACTTAATGCCCCATAGTTAGCGACATATGCTTTTGACGTAGTGCTTACAAGCTAATACTTACATACAGACATAAATAAGAACATTTATACATTTGTATGGGGGTGTGCGCTAAGCATGTGAGTCCGAGCAAGCAACTAAGCTCAAACAATTTTAAGGCTCCACATAATCATCATACGCACTGTAGCACGGTAGCACCACGCACCACGCACCACGGACACAAGGGAAACGTGCGAGTGTTTCTTTCATTGCCTAACGGTTTAAACGGAGAAAATATTGTATGTCGATGCACAACAAAATATTCAGTAAGCATTTTTGGTACCAGCAAGGCGAATATAAACAAATATGCGTATAAAGCGCATGAGCGCTTATTGGATTGAACCATTGTTGTTGTAGTCATATGTTTTTAAACTTTTGTTTTTTGTTTTTATACGAGCACAACATTTGTTAACCCACACAAATGAAGGCACGATTATGGTGAGCTGCTGGTAAAGCGGTCTCGGTATGTTTTTAAATAATAGATGTGCGTATGTATGTATTGCATATACATATGTATGTATGTGGGTGCATATATGCTGCTATGCAGTTGTTTGAGTGTGCTTGTGTATGCGTGCCTCTCTGTGTATATTTGAGCAGTAACAATGTCAGTACCTCAGAACCTCGGACAACACGTGCACAAAATGGTTTGGATAGCCGAGACTTTGAGTGGCAGACGTTCTATGCTTTTATGCAAGTTGTTGTTGTCTATATTAATTTGTTTTTCGTTTTCTTTTTTTTTTGATTTATTTTTGTTTCAGTCGGCCACTACAAAGTAGATTGACAGCCGACCGCTGCAATATACAATAAATAGAAACTTCAATTTTGAGCTAAGAAATTCCAATGCATGCGCACACCGACAACGCTGAATGAATCTGACAAGGCCGGCAGGCTCCCCAAGCGCACGACAGCACCTGCCGTTGGCAGGCGTAACGGAAAAGGACGAAAGCATAGCATGAACTCAACGTGAAGCAGCTCAACTACACGAGCCGAACGCATTCAGCTGAGCGGATGTCACTGTCGTCGGCGAGTGTACTGAGTCGTTTGGAGCCGAACGCTTTCGTTCGCTTGCCCAGGACAGCAAAGTAAGTAGCTCGCCACGATATACCAGTCAGTTCGAATAAGGACGTGAACGGCGATGAATAGCAGCAGCACCAGCAGCAGCGCAAGCAGCATTATTAGTAGTGGTAGCAGTAGCAACGGTGCCGCATAGATCGGACGGACGACGGAGCTAACGAGTCGCAGAGGGATACCAATAGGGATTTTTGTGCTGAAACAAGTAGATATAACTAAGTGAATTGATTAAAACAAGAGTGTAAAGTCAGCAAAATGTAAAAAATATGAAAGCAATGAAGGGAAAAGGCGTGGAAAAAAGGAAGATTCAGTGAAAGCGCTGAAGTTGAAGTGAAAATTTTATAAATAAAGCGTATAAAAGTGAGCATGAATAGTTTAGTAGGCGCTCAAGTGTGAAATAAATTATGATACATACATATACAGAAAGCTATATGTGTGCATGTGCGTGTATGTGTATGAGGTCGCCTATATATGAATACGCTCGTGTAGCTGGAAAATACATACATACAACGCAACGGTGTGTGTGGGTGTGAATGCGCAATCATTTTCATTTCCATGCAGCTCGTTAGCCAAAATACATAATTACATACATACATATGTATATACCTCGTGTACATATACAACTACCTTTAGTATACGCGTAACTGTGTAGCTGTATGCGCATAGTTGACTTAAATTTTTGTCAATTATATTTATTTTGCCCGTCGCCTAATTGGCTTTATCGACCAAAAGAAGAAGAAAAAATAAAAGTCAGAAAGAAATTTTTGACACCCAAAATGTAAATGATTTGTGTGTGCGCGTCTCTGTGTGTGTGTGTGTGTGTGTGTGTGTACAGCGATTGCGAAATAAATACGAAACGAAAGTAAGAGAGTAGTGAAAATAACAACAACAACCAAAAGTAACAACAAACTGAAAGTAACAACAACTGAAAGTAACAACAACAAAAAGTAACAACAACATCATCAACAACAACAACAGCAGCAGCAGCAGCAGCGGTTATAATTCCTTCCAATTTCCAATTGGAATGGTGTTAGTGCAATTCTTTGATCATTTGCGTGCTTTGCCATCTCGTTCAGCGAGCGGGCGCCCCTCGAAATTGTCAGATTAAAAATTTATTCGCGAGCAACACAAGTGGCGCAAGGTGTGTGAGTGTGAGTGTTTATGCGACTATTGGTAGTAGTGGCTACACCCGCGTCACAACTACGACGACACGACCCTTACGTCCGACCTATCTCACCTACACCTACAGCACCTCCGCCCGCCAGAAAACTTGGTCAACTACATATGTATGAGTTTCTGTGTGTGTGTATATATCTGTATATAATTTCTTTGTGTGTCTACTCGTCGTTTTTATGGACACATTGGCATACTCTTACGTACATATGTACATACATACGTGTATGTAGGCGTGTGTAAGTATGTTAGGAAAAGTTGAGATCTCCGTAGCGCTCAACTGCTCTTTCCTGTGCACACACATTAACGAATTTCTGTTATGGTTCGTTAGATCCTAGTGGCTGAAGTAGAAGAAGAAGAAGAAAAGTCAGAAGATGTGCGAAAAAAAGTGAAACAAAAACAATAACAAATGCACATAATAAAAATGTACGTCTTTACGGTGAAGAAATTTCGAGTGGTAAAAAAAGAATGAAAACATTTCTTTTTTTGCTCGTTTTTTGTTGAATAGTGTCAAGTGAAATTTTCGCAAAGCTGGAAAAATAAGCAGAAATTTAAGGAATTACTTTTTTTCACTAAACCATTTTAAATATATATGACAAAATATTAAAAAAAAAAAAGATTTAATTGGAAAACTGTTTCCGCAACTCCATTAGCGCTTATAAAGCATAATTTATATAAATCTCTGAATAAAAGGAACCATTTTAGTAGTTTAAACTTGTAAAAGAGCGTGAAATTTATATGTATATTTTTTAATCTTGAAATCGCCTGCAGTCATATTTGATTAACCTTCCTGCCCTTCGACACTGATTACGCCATTGCGCTGGCGTCATTAATTATTAGGCACCCACTTGTGCTAACTTTCGAATTCCGACTTGTTATTGCTGTAGTAGACGAGAGTGTTGTTAAGTAATTCAGGAGAAGAAAAGGCTGCTGGCAAAATTATATTGTACCATTCATTTAGAGTGAGAAACTTATAATAGAATGGCTATGTGTATATATTTACAAAAAACTAACTAACAAACACAAATTTTAATAATAATAAAAATAAAACTAATAATAATAATAATAATTATAATTATAAAACAATAATAGCAAAAACAACAATATAATTACACATTAATAGAAATAATTTCATTATTCATAAAGCATATTTTCCTCTTAGAGTTAAGAAAAACTCATAAATAATTTCCTCACTTTGAAAAAATGCTAAGAGACGAGATTATTCGAAACTAGACATTTCAAATTCCATTCCGCCAGGAAATTCAAATATTGAAAATACTAAAAATTAATAAAAAATAGCTATAGAAAAGTAGAAAAATAATTTGTCTTTATTTGAAAAATAATTTCTTTAAAAAACTTGATGGAAATGCTTAAAGAAAGGAATAAAATTATTTTAAAATAAATTTCTATACAAATAATGTAATGTTGTTTTCCAGTTAAAGCTGACTAAAACACGTCTTATGGTCAAAAATAGTTTGTTTATAATATAGGAGATACTAAAAGTTATTAATGTTGGTTTTATATTCAAACAAACTTTTCCCTCAAAATATCGATGGTTGTGGCTTATGTGGCATGTAGCGCCGTCTTGTTGAAAGTAAACCTTGTTCAGATTAATACCATCCGATTCTGGCTATAAAAATAATTAATCATCTTTCGATAGCGCAAATCATTAGATTTAGAAAAAATAAGGTCCACTGACCCCACCGAACCATAAGCGGCATCAAACAGGTACACGTTGAGGATGGGAAGGGTTTCCAACAATAAATCTTGGGTTTTCCGTGCCCCAGATGCTTCAGTTTTGCTATTGATGTATTTTCAAAGTAAATTTTAATTATTTCAGTGCGTTATTGAATCGTATATTGTTCCGTTTTTACCAGTTTTTACTTGATAAATGTCAAAATCTTACAGCTTCAAAAGTTGGAAAATCCCTTCACATAAAATAATTTTTATCATTTAAAAGCTAATTTAAAATAACATTATGAAAACAAAGTTAAAAAAGCAATAAATAAATAAATAAAAAAAATTGACGTGAACACTACCACTAAGTTTACAAAAATAATTGTAGAGAATCTGAGAAAAATACAAAAAAAGGTCTGAATTTTTTATTAAAAAAATAATATTTTTACTCAAAGTCTACTAAAGTAATGAAATAAAATAAAAAACGTATATCGTTAAGGCCTCAAATTGCTTACCAAATAAAATTAATATTTAAATATTTATTAATAAAAAATAATATTTAGAAAATTTTAACAAACTTTCTTAAAGAATTCAATACAAGAAAACTATTTTCAATTTTTAAAAAGAGAAAAGTTTTTAAAAAGCTTTACATACCTTAAAAAATACTAATTAAAATACTTATGAAAATATTAAAAAAAAATAAAAATAAAATCGAGTATTCAACTCTGTGTAAATATATATTAATGCCAAAGAAAAACCAACAAATGATATAAGAGTTTGTATTTTTTCTAACTTACAGTGCTTTTAATATTAAAAATATAAACAAAGAATGGAAAAAAGTGCGCTAGTGTCTTGAACACACAACAATTTTATGCACTTTTGTATGCGCTACATACATACATACGTAGATGTAACATTATAGTTGCATTTGATAATCTCTTATTTGTGTGGCAATATAAAAAATATACAAACATACTTTCATGGCAATCGCAAATGATATAAGACAAAAAATCGACAACAACAACACCAACGACAGCCAAACCACTTACTATTGGATACGCGAATACGCGCCGCTTCAAAGTAGAAAAGCATAAAACGCACAACCAACGGACGGATAATTGTGGCTGCGTCAAAGCTTGAAGCTCAATTCTTGCACCCTCGTTGGCACCAGCAAATACAAAGGTAGGCAAATATATGTAACAGTATATATATCACATACATACACGTATTTCTGTTTATAGCATAAGGACAACGAACTTTTACTTATAAGCCTGCAAACATCCATAAATTCAAACATATGAATAAATACTAGCATCAATTTATGTATATATGTATATTCATTTGTATGTACGTGTATGTTTGTATGTTTGTACCATGTAGAAAAAAAATATTCATTATGTCTGAACGTGTCCTTTAGTATACAAAATTACGTTAAAACATATTTACATTTAAACATTTCTTCATACATTCCTATATTATTATTTTCAAATGCATCTTACAAGCCCTACACCCGCATATTCGCAAACTCATACACACATACCAACGTGTCATTGTACATTCTATATAGTATTATACATACACATACATGGCACATATGTATGCATGCGCGTTTGTATAAATAGTCAACGAATTCGTGCTAAAGTATAACTGGAAGGATTTTAAACACTTTGTCTCGCCCACATGTCAATACTCGCAATAATTCACCTCAGGCTGTTTGCTGGCCTCGCATCTGCAGTGGAAAAAGTACTTAGTACTTGCACACTCGACGCTCGTGTTTTTGAAGAGAAGTGGAGAAAGTATGTAGGAGTAAACGAGTATATGTATATGAGTTAGTAGGGAGTGTATATGGAGTTATCAGTTGTTGTACATTTTTGTGATTTTAACTTGCATATTTGTTTCTTTTTTTTTTTTTTGTTTTATTTGTTGACTCAAGTAGTTATGTTTCTTTATTTACTCATGGAAATTTATGAAAAAAAAAACAAAATTTATCATTGATGTACTAAATATGTGCGTGTCAAAAGATATTTCCATACACTTACATACGTACTCGTACATATGTACATAAATGCATTTCTTCGCACTAAGTGTGTATAAAGAAGGTACTCAGCGCTTTGCTTTTTGTCTTTAGTCAGTTTAGAAGTGTTGAAAATCTTGGCGACGGACTCCATTTTTAATTTGGATGCAGAGAGTTTTTCCAAATTATGATATGAAACGCACACATTTTATATATTAATATCCTGAAGTAATGGGAATCAAAATACGAAATTATAGAAAACTAGTTTTAATAGAAAAAATAAATTAGTTTTTCCAAAACATGTATTTCTGATATGAAATAAAAGCTCTTCATGAAAAACCATCAGTCGTTCGAAGGCGGCTTTGATAAAAAAAAAACAGTAAGTTCCTCAATTTTTAGGAAAAACGTCAAGACGCACACCACAAACCGACTATAAATACTTCACTTACTGAATAGTCATTGATACGCAAACTTATTATATATGCATATGTTTGTTCATATGTCATAGTCATCTGATCTGGCTGTATTCGAAAAATTGGGTAGCGAGTATGTCTTAGCTTCGTCTAGAATTTACAAATTTTATTACCTTTTTCGTGAAAGGTACGAAAATACATGCGAGCATTTCATATTTTTTAAAGGTGCCCAAATGGTCCTGGTCAGAGCAAATTTCGAAATATCAGAAAATCAATTCACTGCCTTTTTGGGGTTCCTAATAATCAGCTTCCTCTCTTTTCTCGATCCAATCAAAAGAACCGAACAGTTGTTCCACCAAATCGTTTTGCATCCGTCAAAAGAGCAGTTAGTTGGAAGGAGCAAGGTCTGAAGACCTCCCATTTCAGCGTTTCAAAGTAGGCTTTGACCCACACAGCCCCGAGGAGCCGGGCATTGTCATGTTGCTAAATCACATTGTAGTCCCTTGCGGTTGTTTCTGGCCGTTTTATATGCAATGTACGGTTGAAAAGCATTTATAACGTTTCACATCAATGGTTTTACTCATAGTACACCTCACTCATCTGGTGTCCCCTTTGTCTTCGACGCTAAAATTCCCTCTTTTGAAGCATCGGAACTACTCTCTGCATGATTTATTAGACGACGTAGATTCACCTTAAACTTCCACAAATATTTGATGGACTGCAGTTACACGTTTCTTCCAACTAACAAAGCACAAAAAAACGTCCAGCAAATGCAGGTGGCTTAGAATAACATTTTGTTCACATGTTGTTCAGGTCGCTGGGTGAAAAATTGGCAGCGTAGTGCTGTAGTTTTCAAAAAAGTTAGGCCCAAACACACCTCCTAACCAAAGTGCACACCAGTAAATGTTTTTTTTCTTTGGTGAAATGAGCTCTCGTCAATTATTTCAGGATTCTCGGAGCCTTAAAAGGTACAATTTTGCTTATTTACGTACCCCCGTGTGAGGAATGTGTCTGTCGCTTAAGAAAATTTTGTTCAAAAAATTGCCATCGAAGCATGTACAGCGCTGTGAATGCTGACTTCAGTTATTATGGGAACTGGACTTTATTTTTATGTAGTTGCAATATACGCCATAATATTCCGTCTGAGAGTCCAAGCTCTTGAGAACGTCGAGAAATTGATACATTCGGGCCTCCGCTACACTCACTTAGAGTAGCGCAAAACAATGAAATAGAGGCCTTATCATATCTGTAACCCATTCAGTCTATTTGAATTACTTCAAAACGTTACCAATTTCTTGAGTAGTCTGCACCATCATCACTTCTCAAAGCACGAAACGCGGCCACGTTCGAATTATCGTTTTTGAAGGAGGTATTGAGAATTTTAACGCATCGTACGGTTGCTAAGCGATCCATTTTCAGAAATGCCTAACTTTTAACTAAAACGAAAAATGTTTAGTCTAACAGATGCCAAAATACAGCCCTGTACTTTTGAAACCACGAAATGGATAGCCCTATGTAATACAAGGGGAAGTATACGAGAAAAATGTTACTCATACGTCCCTGCAAACTATTGCATATATTATCAGATACACACATATATGCAACTTAGTCAATAATCCCCGTGCGACCAACATCCAAAAGTTATAGAAAATTAATTTAAATATAAAATTAAGTTAAATTTTCTAATTGCGGTCGCTCCTTGGTAGGGAATCTCCACCCCTCCGAGTGCATTTCGGACATGAAAATCAAAGGCTCCTCATAAAAAAACCACCAGCTGTTCGGAGGCGGGTTAGTATAAACTGTAGGACCCACTATTTTTTGGAAAAAACTCAAAGATATTTGACAGTAAATGATAGTTATATTCAAAAACAATAACAACTAATGAGTATGAATCGCTCAAAATTTATTAAGAACCCTAAACGGAAAATAATTAAGTCAAAATCAATTTTTTCAGATACCCGATCTGTTGATGAACACAAAATTGAATTCGAAGGGAGTGAATACATTTTGAAAATAGAAAATAAAATTTTATGATTTCCTCTATCGACATCAAAAGTAAATAAATTTTTTAGATCTATACTGAAAAGATATTGGTGTTCAAAATTACATATGTATGTATGTATATGCACTTAAAAACACGCATTGATTTTTGTTAAACTGAGATAAGCGTTAGATATTACTCTACACGTAAAAGAGTGCTTTTTTCCCAATATCTGAGCGATATTCGAATTCTGAATTTACTCATTTTATTTTATTTTTTTACGGTTCTTCATTATTTAGTTTGACTTTTGTTTGGCTGATTTGTTTTTGGGCTAAACTCTAAGCTGTTACCTTAAGCTTTGGCTATATAAATTGAATTAAATACGAGGGCGCTTTGTGTGATGTGATCATAGACTTTCAAAAACCCTCTTTTGCGGTAGATGTGGCCAAACCTATAAAAATGCTTATGAAAGAATCACATATGATATCATAGTTAAGAATATAAATTAATTTTTTTATTTGGGTAGAAAATAATTATTTTAATTAAAGAAATATTTATTATAAAAAACATAATTATAAAAAAATACTAAAAAAAAAACAAGTTAATAAATTCTTGTACGTGTATATTTATTTGAAAAAAAAAACACTTTTTTTGCTCCTAAAATAAACTAAAAAATCTTCTCAAAATCTCGAATTATTTACCCTCACATTCTTTAAGTAAAATTAAAAATCAATAGCTATAGATACTTTTTTAATGCAGAAAAACTTTTTGAGCAAACTTCTGAAATTGTCCGCTTGTTGGGAATCAGAAGCCAAATTACTTTTGCAATCGAATCACGTACGAGATACGCAGTAAACATCGCTATAGCTCCAAGGCGTGTCATCATCGTACAGCATTGCGCAACATTCCCATGAATTCCTGGCGAAATTTAAAGGACACACCACATGCATATACAATCAACCAAACGAACCAAACGAACCAACCAACCAACCTACCTAACTTCCTACTGCCAACACACCCGTCAACAATACCTACCAGGCAACGGAAGAACTAACCATACCCCGAAACCAGTGCAGCATCAATCACCGCAAGGTGGTTACATTGGTATAAGCCTCAACTCTTGAACAAACATAAGTACATAAGTACAAATTCAATGGAATATACGCACATACACACATACACATACACAAGCCAACAGTCAAGTAGAAGTACCAATCTATATATATACATATACACACACATATACATATGCATGTGTATGAGAGTATAAGTATTAAATGAATACTTGTAAGCATAGAAATAATAAAAAGAACAGCAAAAATTGACACCAACCAAAGTAGATGTGCGAAAATATTTTTCCATACAAACATACATAGTTATGTGTGTATATATATATGTATGTATGTATGATGGTGTGTGCGTGTTTTCGTGATTTGTGTGTTGCGTATTGGCTTGTAATCTGTAGATTGTGAGAAATATGCCAATTTTTGCTGACAATGACAATAAACTTAAATCCGAAGTAGTTTTTTTATTTGTTTATTTTTTTTTTTTTTGGAAAAAAATCATTGTATTTGTTTGGGGTTTTTACGCAAAATTTCGGAAGTTATAAGATCTGTTTTCGAGTAAATTTAAATCACTTTTGCATACTTGAAAAATCAAATAAAACCCCATATAGGAATGGGGGAAATATGTATAAACACTTTCATACGGGGACTGATGCAAATAAAGGGATGTATGTAAATCTTTTAAAATTTACAAATATATTTAAAGTTGT